CTCTCCTAACGGACGGGCTTTCCAGACAGGGGCTCTGCCCCCCCCCTCCTAACATACGGGGGCTCTCCAGACAGGCGCTCTGCCCCCCCCCCCTCCTAACTAGGCTCTCCAGGACAGCGGCGCTCTGCCCGACCCCTGCCGCCCCACCCTCCTAACGACGGCTTCTCCAGAGGGAGGGGAGTCTGCTGCCAGCACCGCGCCCCCTCCCCCCTCCCCCTGAACGACGCTCTCCCAGACAGCGCTCTTCTTGTTCAAACTCTCTGATGATGCAGGTGTAGGTGCTGCTGTCCCTGATGGTGGGTCTTCTCAGAGTGAGGCCGAGGTCTCCAGTCTGCAGAGCGTCCGTCCTCATGGACGTCCGGTCTCTGTAGTCCTGGTTCTGGTCTTGGAGTTCGTCCCCTTCCAGCTGACGCTGGTGGACGGTTGAAGGACGGAGGTCGGAGCGGCTCCACACCACTGAGGGCTCGTCCAGGTTAAAGGTGGGAAACTCACAGGGCAGCAGGACAAAGTCGTCCCCCTCATGTATCTCCAGAGCTGAGGCATGCTGGGACACTGAGGACACAGACAGAGACATTAGTCCTCGTCCTCAGGTGAGACAGAAACCAGTCTGGTCCACTTTGTGACTGGACCCTGCAGCGTGAGCAGCCTGTAAACTAAACACATGTCTGAAGCTGAACATTTACATCCACACAAACACCACAGCAAAGCATCGTCATGACGACCTTAACATCACACGTCACAAACCTAAAGAACCAATCCTGTCAGCTTGTGGGGCCGGGGGGGCAGGGCTAAATACACCTGACACCTTGTCAGTACAGACAGAGAGAGTTAGCATTAGCACAACTGCTAACACTGTGTCATCCACTGCAAGTTACAAGCTAGCAAACAACATAAACAAATGCAAGATGTTAACTAAGCTAACCATTCTGAAAAGATGCTAACTATGCTAACCGTTCAGAAAAGATGCCAGCTACGCTAACATTTCTGAAATGATGCCAACTAGCTAACCGTTCTGATAAAATGCTAACTAGCTAACCGTTCTGAAAAAATGCTAACTAGCTAGCTGTTCTGAAAAGATGTCTGACTCAGACCGACACAAACTGGTTCATTAAAAATGGCGTATGCAGAAGTGAAGCACGTCATGACGAAAGAACATCATGGCAGCTTCTTCGATGTGTCTGCTGAATTATAGTGTTTTTGTATGTTTCCTCTTATATAGAGCTAATTACCCAGAAGGCTTCTGTGATGAAAACATTAGTTTCTAACTTTAGGAAACTTCAGTGTATCTGAAAGGTTTCATTAAAAACAAAGATCCTCAGAAACAACCGCAGGTCATTTCCCTCCGTTTTAAAGTGCAACGAGTATCAGAAGGACAGAGACACACAACTGCATTACAGCCCTGCTACACACAGTTTAACACACTGTATAACACACACTGACCTGTACAGTCTGACCAACACACCACAAACACACACACGGTCTGAGCGGAGGCAAGTCAATTCATTTAATCCAAACAAGATCATTTACCGCCTCAAACACACACCCTGCGTCCGCGTCCGTGCAGCTTTTAAACGGAGTTTGGTGAAAAGTTTTCTTACCATGAAGGAGAAGCACAAACATCACAAACATCTTCCTCTCCTCCAGAAACTAGAAACTACACCGACTGCAGTCCCGTTCAATCTGCTTCTCCCTGAACCGACGGACCGACACAACCGAACTGCAGGGACTTTCTCTGACGCAGCGACACACGGTTACTTTCTCTTTCACCAGGAAGTCAGTGTGTGTGTGTGTGAGTGTGTGTGTGTGTGTGTGTGTGTGTGAGTGTGTGTGCATTGACGCGGACATCAGGAGAGCTGTGAGTGTGGTGTGTTGTTCGAGAGTGTGGTGGACCTGTTGTGTGTGTTTTGGTATGTGTGCTCGTGTGGGTGTGACTGAGTGCTGTGCAGTGTGTGTGTGTGGTGAGTGTGTGTGTGTGGAGTGTGTGTTGTGTGATGTGTTGTGAATGTAGTGTCGTGTGTGTGAATGTGTGTAGTGTGTTGGTGTGGGTGTAGAGTGTGTGGTGGTTGTGTGTGTGTGTGTGTGTGGTGTGAGTTTGTGTTGGGTGTGTGTGTGAGAGTGTGTGTGTGAGTGTGTGTGTGAAAGACACACCCAGTGTTCAGCAGCTTAATTCAAGAGTCTAGTCAAAGGTCGTGAAGCGACATGTTTTGGACTTCAGTAAATGTTGCAGCTGATCTGATGATTAAACAGACCTTCCTCTAATCCCTGTGACTATAGGAACACCCTGAACCACCGACCTGCCTCTACGTCAGGTCTGTGACTATAGAAACACACCTGACAGCAGCACAGGACCTGCTCTCTACACACCTTGTGACTATAGGAACACACCTGGACACACAGACCGCCTCTATCACACGTGTGACTATAGGAACCAGCTCTCTGACACACAACAGCCTACACTGTGCACTTATAGCAACTACACCACGCACCGTCGTGACTATAGGAACAACACTGACACACACAGACCTGCTCTACTCACCTGTGATATTACAGAACACACTGAACACCACAGACCTGCCTCTACACACCTGTGACTATAGGAACACACCTGACACACACAGACCTGATATCTGACCTGCAGTAACTCGCTCTTCTCTTCTCACTCTGTCGACCGTCACGCACCAAAACACCAAAGTTCAATTCTTTTACCTACTTGGCAATAAAGCAGATTGTGATCAGTGGCTGCTGCGACTCTTCTGTTGCTCTCCTGCCGAGAGGTTAAAGGTCAGACTGCAAAGACGTAGTGTAGCTGTACAAACTGAAGCTGCTGTGCTGCCACCTGCTGGCTGACTGAGAGAATACAGTCAGGTGCAGCACCGCACTCTTCTAACTTTCCCTCTGATCATTTCACAGTCAAACTGTGTGTTTGGTGATTTTCTCAGACGCCGTCACAGTTATAGAATCAGGATTTGAGCAGAGGAGGTCCAGACGTTGATCCACATGTTACCTGACCAGGTGATTCTCTCTACAGAGACCTACAACCACAGCCCCGCCCACTACAACAGCTCCGCCCCCTTCTTCAGCCCCCTCCATCTTGTGTTCTTCCTGATCCGCTACCTGGTGGTGTTCAGTCCGTACTTCATCTCCACTGTCCTCATGGTGTCTTTATATAGACAGAGACCTACAGGTAACACTATCTATCAATCAATCAATCAATCAATCAATCAATCAATCAATCACTGATGTATTTGACAGTGTCTCTGTTACTATCAGATACAGTTCTGTGGTCTTGATTGTTATTGATAATAGATTAATTATCAGTCTCTTTTAATATTTCCATTAACTCCTCCGACACTTAATGACCATCCTGTCTCCACGGCAACAGCACCACCCACCCAGGCGGAGCAGAGATTGGCTGAGGACAGTGATGACATCGTGGCGGTCTCCACTGAGCATCACTTCTGAGCCGAACATCTTGAACATGAAGCTGCAGCTGTTTCATAATGTTGTTAGAGACAGATGTTCATCATCACCTGTGACCCGCCGCCTGTCCAGATGTAGGAGTTGGTTTCATTAGATTTTTCTCTCCATGTATTATAAAAGTCAGGTCCTCTGGTAAATACAGTATTAGTAATAATACATTAAGTTGGATATTTGAATAAATATCAGTTTTTAATTGAGGCTGCTGCTGTTTTTTCCTTCATCATGAAGCAGAAAGTTCATTAATAACTGAAAACAAATATTTCCTTCACGTGCCAGATTATCAATGACACCTGCAGCAACAACAATCTGAAATCAATTCTTACACAAAAGGTTTTAAAGTGATTTCACTTCAAGAAAATGTAGGTTTCAAGTTTGCATCTTATATCTGAACCACTTTGCTGTAGTCTACAAAACACTGTGATCATTGTGGTACTATATATATATATATATATATATGTAGTATATATATACTGTATATACACATACTGCACTGCTCACATACTGAGAGTAGTGTAGTGCTGCCACCTGCTGGCTGTTTCCTCTCACTGCTGATGTTTTAAAGTTTCCTTCAGAGAAGAGTTTTACTTTAATGCTGAATTAATAATGATGAAACTGATCGTGGACAAAATTTCATCAACGTTTGTTCCAGGAAAGAAAGAATAACGAGAGGAAACGTTTCTAAACTGCAACTAAACCTGATTCAAACCTGAATCCTGACACCACGTCTGAACCGTTAAAGGTCCGGCTCACAGCGAAGACCAGAGAATATGTCCTCCCTTTGGACAAATGTCTCCCTGAACAAAGATTACAGCTCACACAGAGAGAGAGGACGTCTCACCTGACACCTGTAGAAACACAGTGTGTAAATGACCTGGTTAGATAGACAGAGCACGGCGCTGCACTGAAGAGAAGACATGACACAAAGCAGTGGCTTCATTATTTTACAGCTTCAACTTCACAGTCGTGAAAACACTGAACCCAGTAACAGATCAAAGACTTAAAGTGAACTTTAGGAAGTTCCTTGTTAATGGAAAAGAGAAAAATCCAACAATATTTTTGCATCAACATGTTTATATTCAGTGCTGCAGTTCCTCTTTTCCCCTTGACTTCACATTTAAAACCAGCTCCACCTTCAACTGCTACAACCGTCACAATCACTGTGTCTGCTGGCTGGTCAGTTCACTGACGCTCTCGATGGTGGAAAAGCTCCCGATGTCTCTTTCTTTGGAGGCATGATATCTACAAAGTACAGCACATGTTGGCATGGACAATATTACGTGATGTGAGCTGTGCAGCTCAGACAATAGAGGACAGGGAGTCATCTGAAATACATTTTCACTCATGCTTGAGGTCTGGAGCGACACTGATCCGCACCATGGTAACTGTTGTACAGTAACAGACTATGGGCAGACTGATAAAGTGACGACTCCCTACCTTTGAAACGGGCACAAAGTTTGTTTGAAGTAAGTTTTTGTTAGTTTACTGTGTGGTTAAGAACTCCTGACAATGAGTGAGCCAACTGAGCTTTTCTCTGAATAGAGAACACAAAGATTTTATTAATTGGATTACTATTGGATAACTCTATGTTGCTGGTTTTAGCTTCACTTCTGAAGCTGCTATAGCTAGCAGCTAGCCCCCTCTGTTGGCCAAAACAAGTGCAACGCTAAACTACTCTGTTTTAAATTCTCAGTTAAAAACGGGGACTTCCTGTGTTTATGGTGTTGATGTGTCTGTGCTGTTCATGTGGATTTGTACGTCGTTATTAAATCTGTATTTTAGTTTACTTTCTTCTTTCAGTAGCGTTACTTGAATATTTTTTTTGGGGGGCTTTGCTGTTCCACCGAGTTCTAGGTTGAACTAGAAGGTGTGGGGTTCCACAGGGAGGCATTCAGGGTCCTCCACTGTTTCTGACGATGGAATCGACGTCTGACTCAAACACTTTGGCTTCATTTAAGGAGGAAGAACACAGCAGATCAGCTCAGAAGAGATGCTCTGTGGTGACAGCGATGATGACATCATCACTGTCATCGCCCAGTCCCTGCTCAGCCTGGGTGAGTGGGGTCATCGCCACGGATACGGGCAGGTGATGTTCTACATTGAGAGCAGGTCAGAGAGAAAATGTGGATGATTCACCAACTTTTAAAACATGAAGAGGTCTGTTAAATTGTTTGATTGATTGATTCAGAGTGTTACCTGTGGCTCTGTGTCGATATAAAGACACCATGAGGACAGTGGAGATGAAGAACAGACTGAACACCACTAAGTGGAGGAGCAGTCTGAACACAAGATGGAGGGAGGTTGAGGCAGTGGGCGGAGCTGTGGTTGTAGGGTCACCTGTAGAGAGAATCACCTGGTCAGGTAACATGTGGATCAATAAGTGGTGAAGTCAAAGTGAAGCTCCTGACCTTTGACCTCCTGACCTGTGACAGTGATCCAGCTGCGTGGAGACTCTCCATGACCTGTGATGTCACAGCTGTAGAGGCCTTCATCAGACTTGTCAACATGGTGGATGGTCATGTGACCTGTAGTCTCTTTGATGAGGGAGCCATCTTTATAGAAAGCAGCTGGGAGGTTGGAGGGAGGGGTCTTTGTTTTACAGTGCAGAGTGACATCATGTCCCTCCATCACAGGGAGGACAGGACTCTGCAGGATCACTGCTCCACCTCAACACACAGACAAACTACAGCATTTCATCCATTTACACACAGCTTCATCAACACTGACTCCACAGTCTGATCTTACCAGTGACAGTGATGTTGATGCTGTTACTGGTTGCTCCCTCTCTGGACTCACACCAGTAAACTCCACTGTCCAATGAAACGATGAAGCTGATGTTACAGGAAGAACCAGCTGATCTTCCCCAGTCGTCACACTGAGTCCTGGTTTCTCTGGTGGTGTTCCTCCTCAGCCTCCATCCAGCAGAGCTGTCGTCCTCCTCACAGCTCAGAGAGACAGAGTCTTCTTCAAACAGCTGAGAGCTGCTGGGACTCACCGTCAGACCAGCTGGAGGGAAATCAAACTAAGTTAATCTCAATGGATCTTCAGCTCTGCAAACAGTCGTCTGATTCGTCTTTTGTTTTTACTTTCTAAGAAGAGCAGAAGCAGCACATTTTGAGTTTGATTGCATATTGTTAGTTTTGTCATTCAGAGAGTGTCAGTGTGGTTTATGTCAGATGACTGTAAGTTCAGTTATGAGTCTTTACTTCCACACGTCGAGTTTCAGAACCTCGTCTGGTCTCTTGTTTTTTTTTTGTACGCTCTGTTGTGGTGTTCGATGGCCTATTATTCTGTGAGTGTTGTGGTCTTATTTGTTGTTATATTAACAGACACACAAACCTGGCTCCACAGACTGAAACTAATCAAAACAATACAAATATAGGTTTGTTAGGGGCGGGGTCAGACACTGCCAAGATGGCGACAGTATAGCAGCTTCAAAACCACTCTTCAGAAACCTGTGGGTGATGTCACAGAGGCTAAGTCAATCTTTATTTACAGTCTGTGCTGAAATGTGAAATGACTGATGGCGTCTCACACGACCACTAGATGTCATTTAACAATTAAACATAACTGTGGGTCGACACAAAGGACGGGCCGAACCATGCAGCTGAAATCTTTGGCAAGATGTTTCTCTATATTTCTGAAGGTGTGTCTGTCATCTAAAGTTAAGAAAATACATTTAAAGAAATAAGCAAATGAAATTTCCTGCACATTCTGACACAATCACATGCAAGATCTCAATTCTGATACTCTGATACCTCATGTGTGAGAAGGTGATGTTAGTAACAGATCAGCTCAGGTGTGACCCGACAGGCTCAGATAGTCAGAGACGTTTACTGACCTTGGATTGATCTGCAGCAGAGCACTGAGGTCAGGACTAGAGAGAAATGACACTCGGGTTAGTTTTAGATTAAAGAACTGAGAAACAGGCAAGGTGCAGATGGAAACACTTTACAACACAACGCAGGATGTGTGATGAATCAGGTACCAGTGAAACACAGACTGGTTCCACTGAGCATTTGTAATTAATTGTGAGCTATATTATATAAAGTTTACACTTGATCAATATTTAATCATGAGCCTATTAGGAAAGAAAGGTCGTGTAAGGGACGTTTATGAATTGCATTACGTAACTCTACGCTGATGATGTGAATTTGTATCCTGAGAAATATTTGATAAATAAATTATTGAGCACAATTCAAAGAGATTACATCAAGTCAATATATAATTAATATTAAAGATGATATAATCTATGCGTGTAAGGTCATAGGCTCAAATGTTGTTTCACTGTTTATTATTATTAACTATTAATGGACAGCTAACAGAAGTTACACAACCTCAACTTATGACTGAAACTGTGACATTATATTTCTAAAATCTAGAAGTTTGATTTGGTAAGAAATTTAAACATCTATTTATATCAAATTAAGGATAAAAGTGAAGTGGCTTTCAAGAAATAACCTTATGAATTATTACAGTATAGTGCTGTATTTCAGATACAATCTCTGATTATTAACATTGAACTATCTAAAATAAGAAACATGATTTAAATGAGGTTTTAATATAATTAATTAACTATTAAGAACACTACTAATGATAACACTACATACACAACATTTCACTACAGACTTGCTATAATACATCAGATCGTACTCACAGAGCAGACACTGAAGGGACGCTCGCTCCATTCTGCCTGAGTCCACTTCCTCTCTGGAGGTGAGTCTTGTCTCCAGTCGCTAAACGGAAATACAGAAGTTAAAGGAAAAGTTCACATGTGGTCACGTCTGTTAAAACAGGCCAGAGGCTCATGTTTGAGCTGTTCATTGTATCCGTTAAGGCTCTGCAAACATTCGTCACTGCCACTAGAGGTTGCACTAGACTACCAGCCTCTCAGACCAAAACTAATGGTGAAGACACTGACGGAGCCTGTAAAGAACCTGACGGAGCTGGTACAAACACTGACAGAGCTAGACACCGACGCAGCTTGTAAAAACACTGATGAAGCTGGTAAAAACACTTATGGAACCAGTTAAAACACTGACGGAGCCAGTAAAAACATAGATGGAGCCAGTAAAGATACTAATGGAACCATAATAAAAAATAAAAAAATAAAAATAAAATAAATATTCTGCAATTTAATCAGCATTATATATATCTTTTCTATTATATATGATACATCAGCCTCTACAGCAAAATTGTCAGTTAAGACCTTTGGATGTGGTAGAGCAGGAGCTTGGAGGCATGAATCTGCAAAAACGATGAGTCATGTCAACATGGAGAGGAGGAAAGTTTCCAACATCGGGTGGATCTATGACACAAAGAACTGAGGAACTACCCAGAGTTAGTGTGGTGTTCCTAATAAAGTGATCACTGAGTGTGTGTGTCATCCTGCTGGATTTCTGCAGCGGCTCTTTGCTGCCATCTGGTGGTTGTTCTGATATTTTCTGTGAAGTCATCTGACTTTCTTGAAATGATACTCTGACTAGAGCGTCCTCTCTCTCTCATCTTCTCTCTCACATCCAGAGTCTCACAGCAGCAGCATCATCATCATCATCATCATCATCATCATCATCATCATCATCATCATCAGCAGCAGCAGCAGCAGCAGCAGCAGCAGCAGCAGCAGCAGCAGCCATCCTCCGCCTCTCGGACTGGGCGTGGGTATAAACCATAATGTCATCTGTTGACAGGAGCTTCTCTGCTGCGATGCAGAGTCATTTAGGTTTTTCTCTGTATCTGATTCTGACAAAATTTTCCGGAGCATATGCCACTGAAGGTAAGTGTGTGTGTGTGTGTGTGTGTGTGGGTGTGTGTGTGTGTGTGTGTATGTGTATGTGTGTGTGTGTGTGTGTGTGTATGTGTGTGTGTGTGTGTGTGTGTGTGTGTGTGTGTGTGTGTGTGTGTGTGTGTGTGTGTGTGTGTGTGTGTGTGTGTAATCAGTCTGAAATTTGCATGTTTTCCCCAGCAGTCAGTGTTTCAGAGAGGGAACTCTTGTGTTGCATGTCAATTCAAAGAGGCCCAGTTAGACTAAGGTCCAGTTCGCTGTGTACACAATAGAGAGCTTTTGAAAAAATGTTATAAAATAATTATTGATTAGACAATTAATTTTCCCTTTATCTTCTCTGGGTTTAACTCCACTTCAGATCTTAATTCTCAAACCTTTTTATAATAAATCAATTCAACACATCTTAACAACTGAGCAGCTTTAACACCTTGTTTTCTCTTTTCTTCCTCATCTCTCATCTGTCCTGTCTCTGATTGGCTGAGCAGCATCATGTGGCCAGTGATTGAATGGCTAGAAAATCTGCACCGTTAAATTAGAAAAGCTCCATCAAGATGTAATAATTATCAATAATTTCTAGGTTATAGGTCCGAACAGCACAGTGTCCAGGTCCAGACCCAGACTGCCGTCAGCCAATCAGTGACCTCGGTTCTATAGTATAGATAGATAGATAGATAGATAGATAGATAGTTAGATAGATAGATAGTTAGATAGATAGATAGATAGATAGGGGGGGGGGGGTCCACAGGAGAGTTGGGGTGTTTCTTACATCAAAATGAAACTGAAACCTGATTCGGCCTTTACTCACTGCTCAGTGCACCAACCTCCACAGTCAGCAGACACGTTTGCTGTTTTTATTATTTCTTTATTATTTAAAACTGGACATCTAATCATGTGTGTGTGTTTCAGGTTACTGTTCACCGTCTCTATCATTTCTGATTCAATATTTATCTTTATTCTACTTTTGACTTTCTTTCTACTGACTTGATCTGACTTGATCCCAGTTATGAATCTCATCAAACAGCTAATCAATCAAGCAAGAAAATAATCAGTGAAATTATTGATAGTGAAAATAATTGTTAGCAGCAGCTCAGGATGATTCTGCTTCACAGCAACAACAAAGAGCAAAAGTGATGAAATACAAAACATCAAGATAACAAGGATATGATTGGATGTTGGCAGTCAGCTGGAGGCCAAACAGCCAATGAACCACTGACGGTGACACATGAATGAAACAGCTGATTTCATTCATTACATTACATCAACATTACAAACGACACGACGCCACCGAAGTGTTTATTTTGGAGTTACATTACCATTACAGCACAAGCTAGCTCAGATGCTAACAAACACAGGGTTGGTAGCGGCGCCACAGCTGGTGTTAAAATGCTTTTACTCACCATTTGAGGAAGGTCAATGTTTTTTTTACCTATTGTTGTTCTTTAACTTTTAGTTTTTTTACTGACGTTATTGATTCATCAAATTCATTCTCAATACTCTCATTCCAGGCACATGTCAAGCCCATCACCAAATCTGTTTCCTACCACCTCAAACACCACATCCCTCAAGTCCGGCCGTCACTCTGTGACCCTGTAGAGACCCTCATCCACGCCTTCGTCTCCACCCGTCTGGACTACTGTGTGGAGTCCTGTTCGGGGTTCCCAGCAAAACCCTGGACAGGATCCAGTATGTCCAGAACCAGAACTCACCCGCACCAAGACCAGGCAGCACGTCACCCCCACCCTCATCCAACTTCACTGGCTTCCTATCAAAGCCCACATCCAGTACATGATCCTCTCCCTCACCTACAATCCCTCCATTATCTCACCCCCGGTACCTGTCTGACCCCCTCCACCCCTGTACCCCGTCCCAGAACCTACGGTCCTCGGACACGGGTCAGCTCCCCTCCCCCCACCCCAGCCTGGGGTCTTTCTGTGACAGAGCTTTCAGTGTGGCAGCCTCATTCTGTCTCAGTTATATGTTTTATCACTTGTATTCTTACTCTGTAAAGTGGCCTTGTTAAGTTATTATTATTATTATTATTATTATTTGTCAAGCTGAAAGACAGATTTCCTCTGACAACAGTGAATGAACAGATAATTAAATAACTTTTTTTCTGCTCTTGTTTAGAATCAAAAGTAGTAAATGATAAACCCGGAAGGAACGTGACGCTGGAGTGTGTGGTTCCCACGCAGGATCCCATCGAGGTGCTGAAGTGGATCAGACCCGACCTGAAGGCCGAGGGTTTTGTCTTGTTCTATCGAGACAAAGTCATCAAGCCAACGTACCAGCATCCGTCTTACGTGTCCCGGGTGGAGCTGAGAGACCCCGAGATGAAGCACGGAGACGTTTCCTTGATCCTCATGAACTCCAACGTCAACGACAGCGGAAGGTACGAGGGCCACGTGTCGCTGAGCGGCGTGGGACGCAGGCGGAGGGCCCAGTCCGAGCTCAGGTGTGTCATCAGCCTGAGCATCAGAGACTCAGGTGAGGGCGTTCAACTCAGTAGGAACCTGTTCCATCACAAGCAAATCTCTGACCTTCAGCCTCTTCCTGAAGTAGAAGTAAAAAGTATTTTATTAAACTCCTGATATACCAGTAAAATACAGCTGAGTACACGTGTAAAGTAACATGTAGTACTCTACTGAAGTACAGTGCGCACGTGAACGAACACAGCTGGTGACCTACATCTAATAAAACTTATTGTTGACGTTTGAATGATGTCATCACTGTTGTAACACTTTCACAAGGATGATGAACACAGTTATTTACACAATAGTTTTATACATTAGTACAAAGCTTTGATAAGTAACTATTTTATATATTTTATCATTTATTCAATTGGCATATACTGAAAAGATGTTTTACCCACAGTCACCAGTAGATGGCGGCAGACCCATTCATATGTATAAATACGTGTGTGTACATATACATATATATATATATATACACATAGTTTGAAGATAATACTAATACTAAAAACAACAACAATGATAATAATAATAATGATCAGCTGTTGCTCTGCTAACAGCTGATCTGACACCTGTTTTCTTCTCTGCAGGTGACGCACATGAAAACACCTTGAACAGACTCATGGGGGAAAATCTGATCGTTTATTCTGTGGTTGCTGTTTTTTCTTTGATTTTTCTGGCGGGAACTTCTTATGCAGTGATCAGGAGATGCAGGCACCAGCAGCGGCTTGAGAACTGCCAGGTGTTGGAAATGGATGATCAATTATTTCAGAGAGTAGAAATAGAAAATTCTCTCTAAAGAAGTCGGGAGATAAAGTTAAAGTTAAACACACATTTTGTAAAACTGAGTTTAACAATCAACAAACTAATCCACCTTCAGTGATTCACCTGGACGCTCCATCAGTGTTTTTCACTACAGTGTGAGTCATCGTCCAAACTAACAAATGATAAAGCAGCTGAAAAGCTTCCAGCTGCAGAAAGTCGAGAACAGAGACTGTGAAAGACGATGAGAGGGAAGCTTGGTATGTTGCTTTAACGTCTGTGAGCACCGACAACTTCCTGGTTGTCACAAGTCGCTGTAAAGACCAGATGTGCAACCATCTGTGTTAGCTGTGAATGAATCAGATCGACACTACGACACGTCCAACGTCTGCAGAGGAATGGAAGATGGAGGCAAAGTTGACGAGGCGAGGCAGAAAGACGGGAGACGTTTTTATGGTTTTTAAGTTTGCAGAAAACAGATCTGACACTTTTCATAATGTTGCACTTTGATCAAACGCTGTAGTTGCTAGAAGAAGACGACGAACGTTAATCAAGGCTGGAGGAACTGTGGTGTTGATGTTGGACTGGTTTTCACCAAATGGGACTTTCTGACTTTGGATAAAAGTCGAATGAGCTGTGGGTTTGTGGCAGGATGGTGTGATGAGTTCTGTAGCACTTCCACCTTTAGTCTATATGTTTACAGTATGTATACGTTAACAACATTGTATTTATCTATGTATGTACTTGAGGAAACTTCGACAGCCAGTGAAGACAGAAAAAACTGTGGGGTTGATAAATTATAAATAATTCATAACCTTCAAAACCTTATACAAGTATTTAAGACTTGTTCTACTTCACAAAAGCACGACTAAGCTATACAGTATATATGCTACTGTATTTTATACATAGGCCCACATATATATGTAGATATGTATGTTAATACACATCTACATACAGTATATATACACATACATACATATGTATAAAATACAGCAGCACATTTGTCTGTGAATAATATGATAATGTGAATATTTATGATTGTGACCTTTTCTCTTCCTGAAGTTTAATCATACTGAAAGTGCTGTCGACAAAAGACCTGAACAAACTGAGTCCTTCATCTAGTGTATGTCACTCCCTCTCCTGTAACAGCTCAGGGTCACAACAGCCATGAAGCGGATGTCTGAGAGCAGTTCTCTCCTGTGACCACCTGGGGGCAGTAAAGAGGCACTGAACACCACACTGACACATCATCAGCTCCAGCAGTCACTCTTCTACATGATCCTACATGTGGAGCAGAGTCAGTGTTCCCTCTCTTTCTTTTAGCTCCATGTTCAGTCTCCTCCAGCTGCTGAGGGAAACATCTGGCTCTTTAGCTGCTAAATGCTCCACTTTTTACAGATGTTTCTCTGAAAACAGCTGCTGCTGCTGTGGCTGAATACGATGCCAACTGGGGCCAATTGGGGCATCCCATTTTCACCTATTGCTACTATCATGTTTGAATGCATTTACTTGATTCTATTTCTTTTTCTGATTGTTGTGAAATAAATAGAATGAAATGAAAAGGCTGCAGGTTCAGGACCACATCTGTAGGACTGTAGTTTTTGTGACACTGCCGCCGAATGACTAGGACGACAGGATCGCACCTCATTAGATGATGGACGACAATCGGAGAGTTAGTGCGACAGCTGGTATAAATAATTACTTTACTGACCCAGCCGTCGACCATATTTATAATAATGAAATCGTATATAATGATTAAAACCAGCCTCTGGTCTGTAGGAACATACTACTGGCCACTTTGGATAAAAGCGTCTGCTAGATGAGTAAATCTAAATCTAAAATGAAATAAAGCTCCATAAAACCGAGGGGGTGCAAATTCAGTGAAGATTCAACACTAGCAGCAACATCCTGTTTCACACTGTCACACTGTTTTCATATTGGTCACACATCCATATTTTAAGATATTGGTTAGAGCTGCTTTAAACATCATCAGTTTAATACATTTTCTTTGTATACGTCACCGTTATCACTTTATGCAGACGACAAACTCGTCTACGTGTCTGTGAAAGGTGAAGATCTCCGTTATTTAACCTGCTGGTTTGAGTTTAAACTGGTCCAAAGATCATCTGTGAGGGAAGAAGCATCACTCTATAGCACCACTGCACAATCAGAGTTTCTGCAGGTCAATAACTCCAACAGAGTGAGACCTCTTCTCTCTCGATGATCACTTTACATCAGTTCCAGGTTTCCTCATTCTCCAGTTAAACTTTCCTTGATATCAAATCAGTGAATAGATTATGTTTATCAATAGTTTTGAATCAGCATCTTCAGTATTTGGATCAAGATGCTTAATATAATAGAAAATAAGGTGTGTCAGATTCAGTAGCTACAGCTTTGATCTCAGTGATAGTATGATCAGTGACAGGTATGTGAGGAGATACTTAACAATTAGATTTTCTTGATGTTTTGAAGATTAAAGAATCAAAACTCTTTGAACACTCAAACTCTGTGTTGTGGAGCCTGAACTGTGCAGAGTTTCCAACCGCTGAATTCAGTTCAGGCTGTTTAAAGTGCGCGGTTGCGGTTTTTGTACGTTTGTTCTTTGTTATCTGCGCTGAGGAGAGGTGTGGATCGGTTAGCCACAACCAAACCGGAACCAGTCAAATTTTCCATCAGACAGACTTTGTGAAAGCCACAGAACCACACGAGAAAAACAACCAATGACAACCGGCGTTTATTGATCCTGCAGAGAAACCGGATCGCTGCTGCAGGAACAAAGAGACACGAATCATATATAAATAACAGTAAAGTCTAATAGTATAGTATAAATGAACATACGGCAGAACAAGGAGCATGTTTGTATCTGAAGCTCTGGAAAAGGGAAAAACTACAAGCAACAGTTTGTTTTGAGGCAGGTGCTATTTGCACCCAGGTGTCTGTAGCCAATGTGGCTATTTACACCTGAGTTTAAGGCTCTGGACCAGTTCACATATCGCTGCTGTCCTCCAGCGTCTGCACTGACTTCCTGTTCATTCTGCCTCTCACACACCATGAAGGCGTCGTCCTAATCGCAGCGACACAGGTTCGATTCCAAACCGTGGCCCTTTGCTGCTTTTTATTTTCCTCTCTCTCTCTCCTAAAAGCTTTGAACAAGTCCCAGACAGGTTCATCATTTTTTAGCGTCCCCCTGGAAACACGTGTTGTGTTGTGTTGTTGCTGAATTTGTTTGCTCGTGTTTTCTTAAGTTTCTTGAGCTGCCAGGGTCACTGCAGCATAGAAATAAAAATTATTATTATTAAAGGGTTTATTTTAACCCAAACCATGATCTTAGAAATAGCTTTGTAGCCTAAACCTCACCAAACTGCAAATCAAAACTAGATAACAATAACAACAATAATAATAACAATAATAATGATAATAATACTAATAAAAATATCTCATTATTATAACCCTCATAATAATAATGATAATGATAATGATAATGATGATGATGATGATGATAATAATAATAATAATAATAATAATAATAATGATAATAATAATAACGATAATAATAATAATAATAATAATAATAATAACAATAACAATAACAATAATAATAATAATAACAATGATAATGTGGCTGGAGGAAAATCAAACTGATGTTGAACCTCTTCATACTTCTTCACCTGAAGCAGCTGAATGTTCTTAAGGAGCCAGTGGACGTTCCACACAGGTGTAAGTAGCCAAGTAGCTGCCATGTGACTATTTTCACCCGGGTGCAAATAGTCAATCTGTTGTTTTAATACTGAGTTTTAGTTTTTCACAGTATTTTGCACTGAAAATCAATCACACTTTTAAAAAAATATAAAATTTCCTCTGAATTGGACCTGTTTGATTTTCTGTGGCTGCAGAAGTTCAGTTCAGTGAGAACGAGACACACAACATGTAAAGAATATATAAACACTGAATGTACTCTGGTGTGAGCAGCTACAGGACGTCAGCAGGACGTCAGCAGTGGGACAGGTGGGACGGGTGGGACAGGTGTGAAGGTGTGATGGTCTTCTTCACTGGAGAGTAGACGACCTCCGGCTCTGCTGGACACGCTGAATAAAACCACACAGATGATTAGAGACACGGATCTGTCTGAGGAATCGTCCACGGTCAGTTTCCAGAGACAAACAGAAGCAGGAAACGCTCTTAAATCATTCATCACTTAGCAAACAAATGATCTGCTGATCGACTAATTGATTAGTTGGGGAATTGTTTCATCTCCACGCAGCAAAACGTGTGTTACACATGGGTAGGTAGTGGGTCAGGACGTGGTTAGCTTAGCTTAGCATGAAGAGAGGAAACAGGGGAAAGTGCAGCTTCACCTCTGGTCCTGTTTGGTCTGTTGCCTCTTTGTCCACAGCTGGCGTCCGTGGTTCTCTCTGCTGAGTCGCCCGGATCTCTCTCTGGAAAATAAAGCACACGTCGCATCAGTGCAGGCTCGTCTGATAGGCTGCTCACTTCCCGCCTCGGGGCCGGTGTTCATCCTACAGCTCAGAGACACCAGCAGCAGAGAAACACACTTCATTATTTTTCATGTAGCGTGAGAAGCCAGGTTTCACAGAGACGACAGTGTTTTTCTTCTTAAATCCTCTGCTGTGAGTGACCAGAGAACAAACGCAGCGTCTTCATCAGAAACAGGAAGCTGGACGACCACAGCGCTGTTCACTTCTATTTAATAGACCTGACACATTGGCCACAAGGTGCGAACCAGATAAACATGTTATTATCGGACATGGCAGAACACACTGCAGTGACAGACGTCAGCAGCGAGAACCACAGCTCAGAGGAATCAACAGGAGGAAGCTGCTGCTGTGGTTTTACATTCTGTTAAAAACTACCACTCTATTCTTTTGAGATGGAGAAGCAGAAAACACCGTGTCTTTAATGGGCTCACACCAGACTTTCAGGGGTTAAACTGAATTAAACTTGGAATAAAATGTCTCTGACTCTGAACCATAAAACAACAGTCTGAATCCTGACGCCTGCTGAAGGAGGGGCTGCCTGACAGGCTGCATTCTGGGTAAACAGGTGGGGGTGGAGATAGCTCACAGGTGTCTGACCTCAGGTAACAGTCCCTCTGGCTCAGACCTGTAGTCCTACAGACATCCCTGGCTGTTCTCGCTGGTGGGAAGCAGGTGAGGGATCTCCTCATTGAAAACACAGTGTGTGAATAACAGAACTTTTACGTCTGATGAAATATTTTTTAAATAATGTTTTAGTACTTTTACTTGAGGAGAACCCAGTTCCTCTCTGAGAACGTCGTGTTCATGCTAATCGGCTAATGCCAGAATGCTAACACTGAGGTAAGGTGGAGGGGACAGGGTGTAAACACTTCACCTCCTCAACATCTACACGTTAGCATTGTCACAGCGTGTTAGCATGCTGTTAGCATTTAGCTGGTGGACCGTGACGGAGACAGAGAAGAGCAGCTGTACCTCTGGTCTGTGATCTGGTGTCTGTGATGAATATCCGTCCATAAGTGACGTGGTCTGTTCTCACAGCTGAGTAGACTGCAGCCGGATCGCTCTCTGGGAAACACAGCACACGCCACATTACAATACTGCAGGAACTGCAGCTGACATATACATGTATACATAAATACATATATACATACACATGTATACATGTTCTATTATTATCAGCACTGTTGGTAAAGCTGTTGCTCCTACTGTAGTAACAATCGTACAAATACTATTCAGATTATTCACATTTCTACTACAATCAGTAATAAAAGTTTTTCCTATAGTTTCAGTACGAGTATGACATAATGGAAAACTACCACAGTGAAGAACATGGCTGAAAGGGGGGGGGGGGG